CCCCCCCCCCCCCCCCCCCCCCCGCTTCCAGGGGAGCCCGGGCTTGTCACTGGAAGGCAGGCCATTGACAAGTCCCTCCCTCGATAGCTCTGAGAGCTGATAGGTGCAGCACCTAGTGAAGATGCGAACTAACCCGAATGCTTATTGGAGGTTCCAGAATAGACCTCATAGGCTGCCAGGCTTGCCAATTACATTAGAAACCGCACTGATTGGGCCTTGCTTTGGCTCTGGGCTGAGAACAGAGATAAGACACATGTGGTCCTTGCCCTGGGCAAGGGCACAGTCTAGGACTCTAGCCTGAGACACAAGTGTCAGGTGCCCTGAGTGGGGGTTGTGGGAGCGGTGTCGCAAGAGGCCTCCTCGCCTATGCCTTTCATCATGACATGACCTTCAGGGTCACCTTGGGGCACCTCTCACTCTGGGGATGAGGCCCTTGGACGCATCTTCTATCTCCCTTACCCAAAGGTAAATGTTCAATTGGGTCTCTCTCTAGAGCAGAGGTTCTTACCCTGGGGCGGATGGGCCCCTTGACCAAAGCTATTCTGGACTGGCCTTCAGATCCCCCCGCATCAAACTCCTGGGAGTCTTGTAGTCAGTGCAGACGCCTGGACCTCCCCAGGCTACATGTCAGATCTGGGGTCGGGGTCTGGGGGTCAGGATTTGTATGTTCCCCAGGGGGTCCTCTGGCCCACCAGAGTTTGAAAACCCCTCTCCTGTGGGCCCTTCAGATGGTTGGAGATCCTCCGAAATGAATGGCAACACTCAGTGCGGGCACCCGGCTTTCGTAGTGGGAGAGTTTATATATGAGAGGCTATGAGCCCATTCTCCAAGGTGCTTTGCCCCATTGCTCTCTGGGGCTCCAAGCTTGGAGTGGCCACCAGCTTCCTGTGTGGCTTTGATAAGCCCTGACCCTCTCAGGAGCTGTGCCTTCAAAGCACCCTTGGTGGTGGAGGCCTTTGGGAGGGGGCTTGGAGGAGATGAGCTGTGAAGTCCTTCCCAGCTATAATCTCTAAGCCTGGGCTGGGAGAGTGCTGGGAATGGGGGTGCTGTTGGGGTGGGCACACAGTCCTCCTGGACCCTCCAGGATGACCTCTTGGTCTGAGAACTTTCTGATGGGTACATCTGCCCACTCCTCCCTGATCACAGCTGGGAGGAGCCCAATAGCCACATCCTGAACAAGCCGAGATCGTGGGGAGGGGGTTCTTCCTGGTGGGACTTGGTGCTGAGCTCAAAAGGCTCCCTGAAGGCCTCTCCTCCCTCACGCTCACTCTCATGCCCTCAGTGGAGGTGTATCGGGGAGTGTGCACGTTAGGTGTGAGTGTGTGTCTGTATGTGTGTGAACTGTGACTGAGTGTGAGGGTATGTGCCAGGGTCCCGTGTGTGTGCAGTGTCTGTATAGAAATAGGCAGTGCATCTGGCTGTTGATGGCTTTATGTAGGTAGCGATCTAGGTCTAGGGTAGGTAGAGTGTCTAAGTGTGTGAGTGGCTTCGTGGAGGTGGACCGTGAGCATGCACGAGTGAGCATGTGCAGGTGTGAGCGTGTTTGTGTGCATGGGCAGTTGTAGGTAATAGTGTGAGGGCAGGCATGCAGTGCGTGTGCACGTGGGTCTGTGCAGGTGAACGCCTGTGTGTGTAGCTCTCCATGGAGCGTGCGTGGCCACAGGGAGCAGTGGGCACTGAGGTGAGGGCGTGGGCCGTGTGGCAGTGAGAGAGGCCTGACAGCCTGTGGCTGACGGTTCACAGCGGCACACGCTCCCATCACGAGGCTGCAGATGGCCCCATGCTTTTCTCAGCAGCTATTCTGGGAGGGAACACGATGCTAGGAACGCTCATCCTCATATCTGATGCAGAGATGAGCTGTCCCTCCTGACGGATCTGAGCTCGGGCCCTCCCCGCTAAGTGTGTGTGTGTGTGTGAGACTGTGAGCTTTTGTGGGGGTGGGGAGGAGTCATGTCCTGAGGCCATTTAGGAAATGAAGGTGGCAAGGACAGGGGAGGAGCCTCCATCTCCGGCCCAGGGCTCTAGGCTCAGCCCCTTTGGCCACAGGGGCCTGAGAGGCCCCAGCGACAGCCACCTTAACCCGGCTGGGACCCAGCCTCCTGGGAGAGGTGCAGAAAGGTCCGATGGCGCCTGGAAACACCAGCCGGGTCCTGGTCCCTGGCACGGAGACTGTCCAGGGACCAGAAATGATATTAATGGACCTTCTGTGGGCTGGGGCTTTACCACATTTAACCATCACAGCCAACTCATAGAGTGGGTTTCATCAGACCCATTTTACAGATGAGGGACCTGAGGCCAGTGAGGAGAAGCCACTGGCCTACATTCTCACAGCTGGTCTTTGCTTTATACTCTCAGGTAGACGGTGTCTCTTCCTCTCCTTGCCCCCTCACCTGGCTCAGCTCACAGAGGCAACAACGGCTACTTGTCCTTGCCGATCCCTTCTTGAGAGTGAGGGGGAGTTGGCAGGAGCCCCCAAGGGGCAGGTCTGTCTGCCTCAGGGGTCTTGTGCATGTTGTGTTGGGCTGGGGCAGGGTTGAAATGAACTCCCTGCATCCAGTATGTGCCTACGGGGCCAGGGCAACTTGTGTGGGGGTGGCAGTCAGGTCTGTAGATACCTGAGGACAAATGGCCCTTCTTTTGTGTTTGACAAAGGACCCAGCGCAGAGGGACCACCTGGCCTTCTCAATGCAGCAACTCTGCTTTCAGGGGGCTCCACTGGGGACCCTCACTGTGTCCACCGCCTGGGGACCCTCCACAGCTCGGTCTTCCCAGCATCCGACAGCTCTTTCTTCCTGCCCCACCCCAAGACTCTGACACCAACCTGGGGGCGGAGAACCATGGAATCCAACAGGGCAGCTCTGGAAAGGCCCAGAGAGATCTTCCGCCCATCCGCCTCCCTGTGTTGATGGGGAAACTGAGGCAGAGATTGCATGAACTGGCCCAGAACCTCCACCACACTGGAGGTCTTCGCGTTCTGGGACAGGAGCCGTACAAGGATGGAGGGAACAATGAGTGGGCACAGAGCTAGACTTGTCAGGAGGTGTATAGCTCGACCTGCCCGCTTGCTGCCCGCCTGCCACCCCCTCCCTCTCACCACCCATAAGATGTGCAAATTTGTGCAGCAGACGCTTCGACTTACCAAGTAAGGCAGCAACTTCATACGCCTTCTTTTGTTCAATTGTCTCGTAATTGAGAGCTTCAAAAAATATATCCAGAACAAGGATGTTCTCGCTGCAGAGGGAACGTTCAGTACGTACATGGGTGGACCCGACAGGATCCACAGCCATCATCTAACAGCTTTCCCTTGGACAGATGGAGAAACTGAGGCCCGGGAAGTGCCACCACCGCCCAACGTTCGAGCTGGTTAGTGGCAGAGCTGGGCCTTGAAACCGGGAGCCCTGACTCCACTCCATGCTCTTCACAGGCCTGGGGGCTGAACCTGGAGGCACCTATCAGTGACCCCCTTTTACCCCGAGTTCTCTCCCCCACTCTGCACGCTGCCTCGCCTCCCAGTTCTCTGGTCCCTAAGGGGGTCTGCCCGGGTCCTTCCCTGCAGGCAAGCTCAGGACTCTTTTGACGAGGCTTGCCTGCCCAGCTGACCCCCCTACCCACTCCTGAGAGTCCCCGAGTTCCTACTGGGATTTACAACAAGCTTCTAGTCGGAGGCCCCACCCTGGCATTACCAGGTCAGCTGCCAGAGCCGGAGTGGCTTTTTAGGGCACAAACCTATATGGGGGGGCGGCTCTGGCAGGAGCACCTTGGTTCCCTCTGTTCCTTTAGGCAGATGTGTTAATGAGACACATCTTGGCAGGAGGCCCGTTGCTGCCTGCAGAATGTCTGCTCAGCAGCAGGAGCTGGCACCTCCTACGATTCCCATCTCCTTCGGTGCTGCGCACAATGCCCTCAATGCCAGTCCCCGACCCCCTGAACAGAAGCAGTCTGCTTTGTAGACACCCGCCCAGGATGGGCTCTGGCGATGGTGCTGGCAGGAGGGAGTGGCTGGGGAGAGGAGCAAACCCCTCTCTCCACGCAGGGCTCTCCGAGGTGCCAAAGCAGCACCAACTCTTGCCTGGTATATGGTGACGACCTCCGAACTGGCTCCCTTTGCCCACCCAGCTTCCCATCTATCCTCTAAGCGAATGCCCAAAGGGTCTTTCTAAAACTGCTCAACAAGTTCAAATTAAATAAAATTACAGTTCAGTTCCCAAGTCACTCAAGCTATGTTTAATATTTATATATATATCTCCTATCTAATAAAAGAGTACTATGCAAATCGACCATCACTCCAATGTACAAGGTGGCCGCCCCCATGTGGATACAAGATGGCCAGCAGGAGAGGGCAGTTGGGGGGAACCAGGCCTGCAGGAGAGGGCAGTTGGGGGGGACCAGGCCTGCAGGAGAGGGCAGTTGGGGGGGACCAGGCCTGCAGGGGAGGGCAGTTGGGGGGATCAGGCCTGCAGGAGAGGGCAGTTGGGGGGACCAGGCCTGCAGGGGAGGACAGTTAAGGGCAATTGGGCCAGCAGGGGAGCAGTTAGGCGTTGATCAGGCTGGCAGGCAGGCGAGTGATTGGGAGCCAGCAGTCCCGGATTGTGAGAGGGATGTCTCAGATTGGAGAGGGTGCAGGCTGGGCTGAGGGACTGCCCGCCCCATGCATGAATTTTGTGCACCAGGCCTCTAAAATATATATATATTTTTTCCCCTATTGATTTCAGAGAGGAAGGGAGAGAGAGAGAGAGAGATAGGAACATCAATGATGACAGAGAATCATTGATTGGCTGCCTCCTGCACGCCCCCTACTGGAGATCGGGCCCGCAATCCAGGCATGTGCCCTTGACCAGAATCGAACCCGGGACCCTTCAGTCTGCAGGCTGATGCTCTATCCACTGAGCCAAACCAGCTAGGGCTCAAGCTATGTTTAAAATGCTCAATGCCGGCAGACTGAGGTGATGAAATTGAAATGAACACCTGCACCATGAGGGACCAGTCAGGTGAAGAGTGAGAGGAAAAGCATTCTGGGAAGAGGGAACAGAATGTGCAAAGCCTGCCTGGAAAACTCCTATGCATCGTTTAAAAAATCTCTTGACGCGTTCCTTGGCAGCACCCCCATGTGAGGTGCAGTCAACTACCTCCCTGTATCCCTGGGGCCTGGATCAGCCTTTGTCACATTCAGTTGTCTGCTTGTCGCCCTGCAGGACTTAAAGGCAGGGACTGCATCTTAATCATCTTTGTCTTCATAGTCTGAGTGCTGAGCACAGACCTTGCCACACAGTAGGTGCTCAATTAATGTCTGCTAAATGGAACTAATTGCTTACCTTTGCCCTCTTCCTTGATTGCCCCTAATTTCCTCCTGATCCATACCAACCCCCCTCCTCCCCAGTCCACATGCCCCTGAGCTTACGAGATATATTTTTCTGATTTGTTAAACTTCTTCTCGAGGTACTTGGCTGAGGTCTTGCTGGGGATCTTCACCATGGAGAGCTCTTTGTTGTAGCGGGTCAGGTTGCAGGGTGTCCTGCAGAGACAGTAATTGCTGTCCTTTTCCGCCAGCAGACCTGCAGGGGAGAGGAAGGGGGCTCAGTCCACTCTGGGGACTGGGACCTCTGGGCCAGGGCAGCAGGTCCAGCAGGAGAGAAAGGAGCTGGGAAGAGGTGCCCTCCCTGGTGAGTGAGGGGTGGGGAGAGAAGGGGAGCTGGGCTGCTGCTCTAGGTTGAGGGTGCGAGCGCTTATGAAAAAGTGCCCACTCTTTCTAGGTTACTCTTGGTCCCGTGTTCCTTCTGCTTCTCTCACTGTTATGTGGCCATAACAGTGAAAAGGCACTGCTTTTGGAGAATAGGCTCCGAGGGAGTCCTGGCCCCTTCTACTTCCCGGGCCTTCTTCTCTGCTCCTAGCCTCAGTGTTCTCATCCACAAAGTGGGCAAAGGCACATGTGGGAGACCATTGCATCTGAAAGCTGGGCTCTGCGGATTCCCTCTGGGGCTGGCTCCCCATAGCCAATGCCCACCTCTTGTGCCCACTGAGTTAGGACACAGGCCAAGATTTGCACTCCTTTCTCTAGAGCAGCGGTTCTCAACCTGTGGGTCGCGACCCCTTTGGCCGTTGAACGACCCTTTCACAGGGGTCGCCTAAGACCATCCTGCATATCAGATATTTACATTACGATTCATAACAGTAGCAACATTACAGTTATGAAGTAGCAACGAAAATAATTTTATGGTTGGGTCACAACATGAGGAACTGTATTTAAAGGGCCAGAAGGTTGAGAACCACTGCTCTAGAGGCAAACTCCCGGCATCCAGGTTCATCTAGTCCAGTGGTTCTCAACCTTGGCTGCACATTAGAATCACCTGGGAATCTTTTTTAAAATCCTGATTTCTGGGCCTCATCCTCCGGAATTCTGTTTCTTTGTTATGGGGTGGGGCCACAACATTAGTAACAAAGAAACAGAATTTCCGGAGGAAGAGGCCCGAAAAATCAGGATTTTAAAAAGATTCCCAGGTGATTCTAATGTGCAGCCAAGGTTGAGAATCACTGATCTAGTCTCTCCTCCCTCCCCCACCCCTCCCCTCCCCTCCTCTCCCTCCTCTCCATTTATGACCGGGTGGTTAAAGACAACATTTCCCTCCCTCTTTCCTCTAACCATCTCAGTGTTTCTGGCTGCCCATGGGTTTTGTTGATTCCTCACTCCAAGGAGAGACTGAGTCTTTGCACACATCGGAAGTCACTGCCTGTCCTCTCACCAGCACACCCCTCGCCTCCAGTCCTGGAAGCTCTGGCAGTGTGAGTCAAGAGCTGCCCCCACTTAACTCCAGCAAGTGCAGCTGCCCAAGGCACTCAAGTCCATGCACACTCGGCCTTACCTCTCTCCTCTGCCCCACCTCCTTGGGCTCAGCTGCTTTGGGATAACTGTGTGAGCTACCAGCATGTGTGTATGTGTGTGTGTGTGTGTGTGGGGGGGGGTTCTGCCACACTCCTTCTGGGCCCCCCACACCTGTCGTGCATCCTCTCTCGTCTCTGCCCCTCATCTGCATTCCTCAGCACCCCCACCCCCTGACATCCACTGCTCTCTGTCCACCTCTCTGCCTCCTTTCTCTCCCCAGCCCTCATCCACTCACATCAATTCCCTCCCACCTGCTCTCCACCTCCCTCTCCTGCAGCCATTCCACTCCATCCAGCCTCTCCCCGCACCCTTCCCATTCCCCCTCCCACCCAACCTCTCTCCTACACCCAGGAGAGCCCCGTCTCAGGCCCTCCCCAGCATTCCACGTGTCCCCAGTACTGACCGAGCGCAGGCTCTGCACACTCTTTGTGCTGCTCGGGGGTACAGAAAGGGGCGTCCCCTGCAAAGAAGAAACACAGGGAGGTACAAAGGCCGCAGCACCTCCCCTCCCGGGGCTGAGGGTGGGGGCAGGCAGCGCACCCCTTACAGGCAGGGGCAGCCGTCTGCCACTGGACAGTCCAAAGGGAGCCCTGGACCAGGGCAGCCTGGGGGCATCAGGAGCAGTGCACCCAGAGCCGGAAGACTGGGTTCCCATCTGCCCTGTGACCGAGGGCAGGGGCTAGGGGGACCCTCCAGATGGCTGCACTGGTGATGGGTGAGGAAACCTTGCTGGCTGATCTGCTGGTCAGGGGAGGCGGTAAGCACCTGCTAAGTCCTGGGCATGGGTCACTTCCTCCTGAAGGGGGAAGTACTGCATCCTGCCTTCCCAGGGCACCGGAGTGGCAGTGATGGGGGGGGCTGTGAACCCTGATCCTGAGGCAGGGGCTCTTCCCACCACACACAGCACTGGGAGAAGGGCTGCTCTGTAAGCGCCTCTCGCTGCACCCTGCATCCCCACCAGTAACTGAGAGGTTAGGACCAGTGTCCTGGGTGGAATGACTGCTTGCTTTCAGCTCAGGTTCCCTGAGGCAAACCTCAGTCTGAGCAGCAGGCAGGTAACACTAACTATTGCTCAGCTCTCCTTCCTGGCATCTCTTTGTAGAAGTCCAGGGTCCACTGTTTTCTCTTTTCCCAAGGGCTACAGTGAATGTCCACCTTGATATCTTTCCTCACTATTTCCCCAAACACCCTTTTTCAAGAGCTGAGGGGCTGTTATGCTCCCTCCTTTCATATATATAATCTCCTCACCTGAGGATATTTTTCCATTTATTTTTTAGAGAGAGTGGAAGAGAGAGGGAAAGACAGAGAGAAATATCGATGTGAGATAAACACATCGATTGGTTGCCTCCTGCATGCATCCCAACCAGGGAGGAGCCTGCACTCAAGGTACATGCCCTTGACTGGAATCAAACCGGGGACCCTTTGGTCTGCAGGCTGATGCTCTATCCACCCAGCCAAACCAGCTAGGGCTCTGATAATAATAATTTAATTGATAGTTTTCCTTTTTGCTCCGTCTTCTAGGCAGCTCAGAGGCAATTTTATTTTTTAATTTATTCATAAAATTTTTATTTATTGATTTTTAGAGAGAGAGAGAGAGAGAGAGAGAGAGAGAGAGAGGCATTGACTTGTTGTTCCACTTATTGATGCAGTCATTGGTTGATTCCTATATGTGCCCTCACCAGGGATCAAACCCACAACCTTGGCACATTTGGGACGATGCTCTAACCCAGAGGTCCTCAAACTTTTTAAACAGGGGGCCAGTTCACTGTCCCTCAGACATTCCACACACGCGCATTGCGGGCCCGGGACGAGTTGGCTGCTAAGCAGGACAGGCAGCGGCGGCAAAAACACCTGGCGGGCCGGATAAATGTTTTCGGCAGGCCGCATGTGGCCTGCGGGCCGTAGTTTGAGGACCCCTGCACCAACTGAACTACCTGGCCAGGGCCTCAGAGGCAATTTTAAAAATCAATAATTCTAACCTTAGATTACTAAATAAATTACTGATTATTAATGAAATAATTCAGAAGTTAATTGTGAGGATGTTCATTTCAGCATTGGTTATATTAAAAAACAATTGGTAATGAACTAAATGCCTAATATAAGGATTTCGTTAAGTACACTTAAATAAAGCATGCTATAAACATGAAATAGTAGCTGTTAAATACACGAGCAAAATTCCTGGCACATAGTAGGTCTTCAGTCCACAGGATTTTTGGTTCCTCCTCCCATATGCTAACACAACAACCACTGACTTCTGCAGTTTTAAAAGCATTTTTATGTCTTAGCCTATTTTTTTTTTTTTTACTTTAAAGATAATGAAGCTGAGAACAGAGAGGTTTAGAAACTTGGGCCAGGACACAAAGCAGGTGAGTGGAGGAACCTGAATTAGAAGCCAAGGCCTCCAGCCCCGGTCCTCCTCCCTGCCCTCTTCAGCCCCACTCCCTCTGCAAGGCCACCTCTGACAAGCTGACCACCTCTGATGAGATGGCCACATGCACTGTAAGTCTGACACCAGAAATATCAGCACCGGCATGTGCAGGCTGGCTGGTGGACGTTTGCCTCATTTGAAAGAGTGCTGGACTTTTGGGTTCAGGAAGGGGAATATCTGGATGAAAGGAACACACATCAGGATGTGTGAACATGGACCACACGAGGAAGCAACGATTGCAAGCCTCCAAATATCTGGACACAGCAAACAGTTAGCAAACATCTCAAACATTGGGAGGAATGTTCTCCAAACATCTGGATGCTTCAGGACCCCAGGGAGCTGCCTCGGTTGCTAGAGTGGATGTTTCTGCCTGCTCTCTACATGTCTGGGCACCAAATAACACCCCTTTGGATGCTCCTGGAGGGGGAAGTGTTTCTCATTAGGGTGAGAAACGCAAAGAAGGCCCCAGGAGGTCCCCTGTGGCCGCCCCTCCCCTGGCACTAACCTGGCATGTGGACCATGCGGCAGTTGCAATTCTCCACGATGTAGCGGGTCTCACAGTCGATCCTACAGGCGGTGATGCTGTAAACAGGAAAGAAGTCGAGTCCCATCTCTGAGGATCGGCACTCGCCCCACGGAGGCGGCAGGTATGTGAGCTGCAAGACAGGAAGAGGGGGCAGCAGTCAGCCCTGGAGGTTCAGCCTTGATGGACTCAGCGCCTCCTTCATTCACTTATTCAATCAACCAACAATTATTGAGCAACTAATTCATGACAATCTAGACTCCACTGACCTCACATGCCTTCAACATCTGGCTCTAACATTAGTATTCTTATCTCCTCTCTTATGAACCCTCCCAGAAATTCGGATCTTCACAGAGCCTTTTACATATGCCATATCTTGTCACTTCCACACTTTGTCATCTCCCATCTCTTGGAAATTCTACCCTCCAGACTAGGAACCTGAGACCTCGAGCTGGAGGAGGGTTTGGGATGAAATGGCCTTTGGCATACACAGTGTTGTTTATGATCCTTGGCCCTGGCTAGAGCAGCTCTCCAGTGCCAGCTGTGGACAAACTCCTTTGGGGAACGTGTCACTTATTCTCTGAGGCCCAATGACAGCAAACTGTTCTAACACCTATGGCACTTGCCTGCTGGGGATGAAGAGAGTGAAGGATGAAGGAACTAATGGTTGGTGAGCACTTACTGTGTGGTAAGCCTCAAGCCAAGTCCTTTACACCTTAAAAAATATTTAAGAATAAAAAATACAAAAAAATGCACACATTTCCAGTGCACAGTTCAACAAGTTCTGAAAAAATCTACACATCTATGTAACTGCCACTTCAAGAAAGAATAGACATTTTTGCTCTGGGTTAGAGCATCGTTCTGATAAGCCAAGGTTGTAGGTTCGATCTCTGGTCAGGGCACATAGAAGTATCAACCAATGAATGCATAAACAAGTGGAACAACAAATGGATGTTTCTCTCTCTCTCTCTCTCTCTCTCTCTCTCTCTCTCTCTCTCAAATCAATAAATTAAAAAAGATGTAGGATATTTTTAATTACCTTAGAAAGTTCCTTCCTGTCCCTTTCCAATCAGCCCCCACCTGCCCGGGCAATCGCTGTTAGGGATTCTATCACCATAGCTTGGCTTTGCCTCTTCTCAAATTTCATATAGAGGAAGACTTACACTATGTGCTCTTTTGTGTCTGGCTTCTTTAGCTCAACAAAATGTCTTTCACACAAAGTAAACTTCAAGACACAGATACTGCATGAGATAGAGAGGGTTATTTTCACAGTAACAGGATCAACCATCAAGGGGACATAATCATTCTAAATACGTATTGCCCAATGATAAGTCTCAAAAATACGTGAAGCCCTGGCCGGTGTCTTCAAGTCTGTGTTCACTTATTGTGTCCTACTCAATCTTCTGATAATCCCACTCAATGGTTTTAAATTCCAGGTCATTGCATTTTTCAGTTTCAGGTTGACTTTTTAAAAAAGTTTCCATATCTTGCCCCCCAATCTCTCATTATTTACCTCTTTCTGCAATTATATAACATGTTTATCGTTGTTATGTTAAAGTTGTTGTTTTCTAAATTCCAAATTGGGTTATATGTGGCTCTGTTTCTACTAGTTGTTTATTTTTCTCTTCACATCTTGCCTCTTTCTTCATGTGTAGAGTAGGTTTTGATGGTATGGCGAAGGACATGTCATTTTTTGTTGTTTGCTGGACATTGTAGGTAACTATAGTGGCTCCAGGTCAGTTATCTTCCACTGAACAGCATTGAGTGAATCGCTTGATTTTGTGAAGGTGTTGTTTAGACTTTGTATAAGAATGGGTATAATATTTTTGTTTTTCCCTTAGTCCTGGGCTATAGCCCCTAGTCGTGGAATGTGATGTTAACTCCTAAGGTCTGACACTTCTGGGATTTGAATGGAAAGCCTGAGATGGATGCTTATCAAGTGTAACTTGGTGGGACTTGAATGACAAAGTCTGTCTTCCCTGCATTGGCTGCTGCTGAGATTACTGCCCAGCTCTGTCACCTGTAGTCCTGGGCTTCTTGGAGTGCCACCCCTATTCATATGAAGTTCAAGGTTCAGCCTATGATTTTAGGGAAGTTTCTAGAAACATTTTGGAGCTCCCCCTCTGTGGGTCCCACCTTTCTAGGATCTTTCTTCCCCAAAATTTTCAACCTTTCTGGCAATCATGAACCATGAGCTCTGTCTTGTGCCTTTTAAAAAGATTATGTTTTTATTAATTTTTTTATAGAGAGAGGAAGGGAAAGGGAGAGATAGAAACATCGATCTGAGAGAGAAACATTGACCGACTGCCTTCTGCACGCCCCGTACTTGGGATTGAGCCTGCACACTGGGCATGTGCTCTGACCAGGGATCAAACTGTGACCTCTTGGTGCATGGGACGATGCTCAATCCACTCAGCCACAGCAGCCAGGCAGACTTGTGCCTTTTTAAACGTAACGACTGCTACTTTCTGCTCGAGCTCTACTCCAGTATTCCCTTAGAACCTGACCTGCCCTCCAGGGAGAAGTCAGATAAATAAATATGTATTTCACCCAGTGCAGGTCCCTATCCTCAAGGGCTGAATACCCTCCAGGTCCTGCCTGCTTTAGTCCCATCAAATAGCATTTTAAAATATCTTGTCCAAAGTTTATAATTCCTATCTCCAGGAGGCTTAGTCTGATATAAGCTATCCCACCATTACGGAGAACCCCAAGTCTCCACACTCATTTAGCATTCATAGGACTCCTTGGAGGGAGATGTTCCTGTGCTCGTTTTATTAACGAGGCACCTGAGTAACAGAAAGGTTAAGTAGCCTGTTCAAGATCACACACCTTGTCAGTGGCAGAGCCAGCATATGGTCCCGGGGATTTCTGACTCCAACCTTGCGCCTGTCACACGATACTACATTGTCTCTGCAGGAAATCGGTGGGAGGGAGGGAGAAGCACGCCAGGGAGGACTTCTCAGAGCTCTCCTCTTTTGTTTTGATCTAATGGCTGCTTTCTTCTTCCTTTTTCCCCGTGTAGATTTGCTTTACTATCTCCTCTTTCTTTGGAGTGCATAAGTTGACCAGGCCTTTGCCCAGATTCCCTGTATAACTTTAGATAATTCACTGCTCTCCTGGGAATCTCAGTTTCCCCACCTGTAAATAGGAAGGACTTAAGGGTAGATGTTCGATGATTAGAATGCATTAGGTCTCCTACGCTGCTCAATACTGGATCCATAAACACACTAATTGGATTTGGGAAGGACCAACAGTGGCTTTTGGCAAAGCAGGAATGTGTGTGTATATGTCTAAAATGATGAATATTAACTGTGAGGGCTACTCATTTCTTTTTCTTCCACGAAAACAGGTTCCCACAGTGGGTGGACCAAGCATGGCGCTGGTGAGGCTCTGGTGATGAGCCAAGGTCTGTTCAGGGTCAACCACTTCCCTTTTGCTGGCTGAGGTCATGATTCAGAGCCCACGCCCACCCTGCTGTGGCTGGCTCGTCACTTGTCCCGTCAGCTTTTCTGAAGCCTCACACACCACAGCAGCCGGGAAATCACAGCGTGCACAGTATCGACTCGTGCTTGCCAGTGAGTGTCTGAAAGCAGGTTGGAGTATTTGTTTATCCGGGGCCGGCAATGCCTCCGGGGGACCCTGCAGCACTGTCTTCAAATATCCGAAGGGCTGTCTCGGGGAAGAAGAATTCCATTTGTTTCCGGGCACCCCAAGGGAAAGACAGACTCAGAATCATTGCAATCAGGGAAGTGGGGAGCACGATAGCGTTTACTGATGCTGCAGGTGCCGGGACAGGCACATTACACGCATGGCCGTATTTAATCTTAAAGAAGGAATAACTCAGGCTCAACTTTCTAACCTCCTGCATGATTCCATAATAAAAGCATCGTCTCGAGAGGAAGTTCCCCATCATGAGGGGTGGTGTTCAAGCAGAAGCTACCAACTATCTGGCTGGGATGGGAAGAGAGAGATTCAAGCATTGGGTACCCAGGGGATGAAATGACTTCTAAAGTCGTTTAAGCCCCGTATGCTTAATCATAGACCTTAAATCTATTATTTGATTTAAGAACTAGAGGCAGTGGAATGAGCCAGACAGAAACCCCCTCCCCATTCTTTCATGAACTATCTGTGTGACTTTGGGTAAACTTCACAGCCCCTCCTCCCATCCCCAGCATTTAGTCTTACCTGATTAAATAAGTTCATTGCCCAGCAGCTAGTAGGTACTCACCAAGTCTGAGCTCCCATCCCCTTCCGCTAATAAGCTCTGTCATGTTTTCCCACCCTTTCAGTCATGCAACAAATAGCATAGCTCCACCTCTGCTCTCCTCACAAGTTGGTTTTAGAGACCAGCAAATCTCCGCCTTGTTTGGCAGCAAGTTACTTTGATTTGGGTCTATTATGAGAAGGATTCCTATTAATTCAGGCGTCCAAGGTGGCACCAGGCAGCTGGATCTCGGGGTCGAGCTGGGAGAGACCTGGGCTGGAGATGGACGTGTGGGGAGCTTCGGTGTATAATGAAGCTGTGGGTAGCTGAGCCAGCCCAGGGAGAGAGGGGAGATGCCCAGGATTGAGCCTTGACAGGTGCCTGCATTTACTTGACAGCTCATCCTCCCTTACCCGTTTTTTCCATTGTTTCGTGGAATTGGTTGGTGGCTTTCGATAATTGTTTAAATTTACGAACTGAATAAAGAACGCAGAACTTTTGTGACTGAGTACTCCAGCGCTTGCCTTTCATTGCTCCACTGTCTTGAGGCTTCTCTCTACAGTCCTTTCACTTTATCACTAGAAGCTGGGGTTTGCTTCCTTGGCATCCTGTGCTGGTCCTCAGCCACCGGCTCTCCTAGCCTCTCCCAGCCCACAGATCCCGAGGCCGGCCAGCAGGTGGCGCTGCAGTTAGCATAGCTGCCCAAGGCCTGTCTGCAGTCTGAGCTGCCCCAAGGGAGGAAGCCATAGGCCCTTGCCAAGCTCACTTGGCCTTTTCCTTGTGTCTGCAGCCCATTCTCGGAGGCCTTGGCTGGCTACTGCTGCTGCTGCTGTGTGGGGTGATGCTGAGAAGATGATGAAACGGCATGAGAATATATTCATTCTGCTCCTGGAAAGGTTAGGAAAGGCACGAGGGAGACAAGGAGAGAT